TTAATATATTTATTTAAGCGCTGAATCTGTACAATACAAGTATAGTACCTTAACAACACAGTTAGATTATATTATATAGGGTCTAGCCTTCTAATGTATAATGTGTATAAATTATAAAATTAATTACGTTTTTTGAACCCAGATCTGATTCGTTAGGCAGCACTGCGGTTTTCTATTTGCTGATAAATCGGTCCACCACACATATGAATCAACCAAGAAAATAGTCGATATGGTCAGCCGTTCTGCATATAAAAGCAAAGCGCTGATCGATTCTTATTTAGTTCCCCAATTCGAGTTGTGAGCCAATAGTAATTATAAGAAAAAAAAAAATAAATAAATACAAAATAATATGAAGTATTTGCTGGTTTTGGTTTTGAGCATTGCCTATGTTAAAGCAGAACAAGCTATCGAAACAAACACCAAAAGTGAATGCATTCCGGAATGTGGACCAAATCAGAAGTGTTACGACAGCCAATGCATTTGTGACGATGACTCTGGCAATTTGAACTGTACGAAGCCAGCGGGAGACGAGGTGACGAAGATGAAGTGCCCGAATGTCTGCGGCTCGAATGCCGAATGTGTGAATGGTCAATGCGTTTGTAAAAAAGGCTACTACATTGAATTCATAGACAGCACCGACTGCATTGCGAGTGTTTGCCCAAACGGTTGTGGGGAAAATTATATATGCTTTAACAGTGAATGTAAGTGCATTGAGCAGTTCGCTGATTATCCTAACTGCATGAAGCCTGCTCCCACCATCGAGAGCACCACCACTACCAACAGCACTACCATTGCAAATAGCCCCTCTACAACAGAGAGCAACACCCCTACCAATAGCACTACCATCATAATAGCCGTACACACAAATAGAGTCTCCACAACCGAGAGCACCACCACTAACAATGGCACCACCACCACCACAACACCCAAACCTACAATAAAACCAACACCTAAACCAGGAAAGGCTGGCCTCAGTGCTTGGGCTCTCGTGATAATTATTTCGCTGTTAGGTGCTGTTTTTCTTTTCGGCGGCTTCGTGCTGTACAGATATAAATATCGAGGTAGTTACAGCATCACACCCACACAAAGAGTATAAAAATATTTATTTTAATAATTGTAATATAAATCAATTTAAATGTTACAGAACCAGGTGCAGAATAAATTTATATTTTATATACTCTTGCTAGTGAACAATAATAATAATAATAATATGAATAGTAAAATATTCGCTACACACTGAGTCATGCAAAATAATTCGCGGTATATGAAATTTAAAATAAAATTTTAAAACTAAGCGGAATCAAACGTTTGATCTTCTCTTAGAGGAACTCTGTGTGATTAAGCCGCTGTTGAACTATTGGTAATATCTGAGCGTCCGGGTCTCCAAGCTCCAGAGTAGAGAAATTCTCTCTCAACAATTTCATAAACTCGACAATCACATAAAATATGAAAAATATTTTATATTTATTACTA